ACAACAAGGGTTGTGGGCTCCACTTTCAGAGAAGAAGACGGATTCAGTCACCGCTGAGATGGCCGCGATGGTGGAGAAGGCACACTCGATGATTATGTTGTGTCTTGCGGATGATATCATCACGAAGTTGCGAAGGAAGAAACCGCATCTAGTTTGTGGTTAAAACTTGAAAGTTTGTATATGACACAGTCTTTAACCAATAAGCTGCTTCTGAAGCAACTTCTGTTTAGTCTAAGAATGCAGGCAGGTGTGCCTTTTTGAGATCATCTAGATCAATTGAACACAATATTGCTAGAACTGCGTAATATTGATGTTAAAGTAGATGATGAGGATGTCGCATTAATTTTGTTAGTGTCTTTACCACAGTCTTTTATTGTCAGTAAAGATACTGTGTCGCTAGAAGAGCTTATATCATCTCTTCATAGTAGAGAATTACGCCATAAGGCGGCTGGTGCAATTGCAGACAATCAGGCGGCAAGGTTAGTAGCCAGTGGGGGTTATGGACAGCGAAAGTCGGGGAAGAAGAAGAATAAGAAGAATAAGAAATCGTCTTATTCAGGTTTTTCCGGTTCTGGTGCTAGCACATGTGGTGCTTCTGGTTTTAAGGGTCCTAAACCTACTGATATTTGTAACTACTGTAAAGAAAATAGACATTGGAAATTTGATTTTCCCAAGAAAAAATAGCAGAACAAATCTAGTAGTGTTGTCGTGGCAAAAGCAAATTTTGATAAAGATGATTATGCTCTAGTTACTTATAGGGTCACGCATCACACTGATGTGTGGATCTTAGATTCAGGAGTGTCTTACCATATATATATTCGCATAGAGAATGGTTTACAGCTTATGAACAGATTGATGGCGGCACTATTTCTATGGCAAACAGTGGAGTTTGTAATATTGTTGGAACTGGCTCAGTAAGGATTCAGACACATGATGGTAAAATCTGCACTTTGAATAGAGTTAGACATGTTCCACTAATGATGAATAATCTGATATCTTAAAGCATGCTAGACAGTAAGGGTTTCAGTTTTCAAGGTGAAGGTGGAATTCTGAATGTCTGCAAGGGTTCAAATGTGGTTGTGAGAGTGTAATACCCGAGATTAATTTAAGAGGATTAATAGTATTACTCATACCAACAGAGGTGCATCTCCTTTTAAGGGAGCTCATCACCCAAGAACTCCAAAGTTAAGCGTGCTTGCACGGGAGTAGTCTTGGGATGGGTGACCCCCTGGGAAGTTTCTCAGGGCGCGCATGAGTGAGGACAAAGTGCGCGGTAAAGGCTCGTGGTGGTTTGTGGGGACAGTACTAGAGGTCTAGAGTAACTACCTCGGGTCCGTGTGGGGCCCCGGGGTGTTACAGGTGGTATCAGAGCAACCCTGCGACAGTGTGTTGACCCGTTGGATATCGGGCGGGCACTTAGCGGGGCAAGATTCTGGGGTTTGATTGAGATTGGTTTAAGGGCGCAACGAGGACGTTGCGATCCTAAGTGGGGGTGATTGTAATACCCGAGATTAATTTAAGAGGATTAATAGTATTACTCATACCAACAGAGGTGCATCTCCTTTTAAGGGAGCTCATCACCCAAGAACTCCAAAGTTAAGCGTGCTTGCACGGGAGTAGTCTTGGGATGGGTGACCCCCTGGGAAGTTTCTCAGGGCGCGCATGAGTGAGGACAAAGTGTGCGGTAAAGGCTCGTGGTGGTTTGTGGGGACAGTACTAGAGGTCTAGAGTAACTACCTCGGGTCCGTGTGAGGCCCCGGGGTGTTACAGAGAGGTATCAAGCACGGTACTCTATATTATCTTCAAGGATCTACTATGTCAAGTTCTGTTGCTATTGCATCCTCAAATGATGACATTGAAGATTTGACTTAGTTGTGGCATATGAGACTTAGTCACATGAGTGAAAGGGGGATGTAGACTCTGTCAAAAGAAGATCTTTTGTGTGGCCACAAGGTCAAAGATTTGGATTTCTGAGAGCATTGTGTATTTGGGAAGATACATCACAACAAGTTTCCTAAAGCAGTGCATAGGACCAAGGGCACACTTGATTACATCCATTCTTATTGTTGGGGTCCTTCTAAGGAAGAGTCTTTGGGAGGCCACAAGTATTTTGTGTCAATTATTGATGATTATTCGAGGATGACTTAGATATTTGATGAAGCACAAATATATCAGTGAAGCACTTTATTTGATGATTATTAGTGAAGCAATTATTAAAGGAGGAGGAGGAGGAGGGGGAGGGGGGGGAGGAGGGCCGGAGGAGGAGGAGGAGGAGGAGAGCAAGACATACATTTTACCATATTTCACTGATCTAGGAGAAATTAAAAGTCAAGATTTGGCCGGAGATGGTGACTAATTTAAGATATGCGAGATGAGGGAAGACATAAATTAGAGAAGGGGGTGTGAGGGATGTGGAGAGGAGATGTATGATGAGAAGAGAGAGAATGATGGGTGGTGAGATATGGAAGGAAAGCAGAGCGATGAGAATTAAATGTGGGGAGGGCATAATAGGAATTGAAACTCCTATTTTGGAAATTTGAAACATATGATCCTATTTTTGCATTTTTTCAATATTTTAGTCTTATTCAAAACAATTTCTTTTAGTAAAACACGGATTGCATTTAGAATTACCCTAGTTTGAAATTTGATTAGTGATGAGAAAGCTATCTAATCGAGAAGGCTCCAGAATTGGCTTAAAGAAGGGATTAGAAGGATCGTCCTCAGGTAGTGGTTCTTTTCAAGCAGGTTTCACTACAAAAAAAAAACAGGATTTTTGTCACGGATTTTGTCACAGACTGCAGTTAAAAAAATCTGTGACAACAAGCATTGTCACAGATTTTGTCACAGATTTTTGCCGTAACCGTTTAGGCATGACAAAACTTTGTCACAGACAGATATCCGTGATAAAGCTTTGTCACGGATTAGTCACGGATGAATATGTGACAAAATGTTCACCAGAGAAACTTACCATTTGCACTTTTGTCACGGAAGTAGTCTGTGACAACACTTGTCATGGATAAAATCCGTGACAAAAATTGTAATTTGAATTTTGAATTTTGAATTTTTATTTGTGCTAGTTGACTCTTCTGTATGGGCATCACAGGAATTTAATTTTTTTTGAAATTTTAACAAATTGAAAATTTTAAAAATATTATTATCAAAATACTATATTGGTTAAAAACTATAAATTATAACCATCAACAATAATTAGTTATGTTTAATATATTTCACTAATAAATATATATGAAGATTAATATAATAAATTTCATTAAAGTTCACTAAAATTTACTAAAGTTCAATTAATATTATTAATTAAATTAAATCAATACATCAATGGCATTAACCATTTGAATCCTAATAATTCACAATACTAAAATTTTTAATTGAAATTCTAACAATACACAATAAATTAACCAACATTTAGAATAACTGAAATTGAAATAATTCACAATAATAATTCATTGAAATCCTAATAATTCACGCTAAAAGTAATTTTAAATCCTAACTTAAATCATTATAAATCCTAAATTAAAGGCATTAACAATAATTGCTAAATTTTAGTATATATTTCTAAACGAATTTCAAAGAATCATTCACTCATATATTTCATGTATTGGTTTATAAACATTTTAATTAACTAAAAATGTAAATGACATTTTAATTGAATTACTAGTATTACTTAAAACTCTAAAAGGCATACACCACCCTAATTTTTGTACAAACCCATTGGAATTAACTAATATTTAAATTAAACTAATATTATCAATTGAAATCCTAAATTAACAGTATTACCAATCATTTGAACACTAATATATATTTCCAAACGAATTTCAAATATATGCACAATAAATTATATCATCTCTAACCTTTGAAGTTAAATATATTTTTAATTATTTAACAACTACACTGATATTTTTAATTATTTAATAAGGTAATAAATTAAATTTAGCATTAAAAAAAGATACACAAATTCAAATGACATACATTATCTGCATAGAGAGGGAAAATGACATAAGATTACATCCTTCAATCTTTCAACAAATACTTAATCATACTCTGATTGAATTTAAACTGGTATCAGTCGAATGAAACTATTCTTTCTTATATAAAACACTATGTCATGAATTTTGTCAGGGATTCTTCCATGACAATCTGTTGGATGACCATACGTATATTACGCACGCAGGCATAGGAACATACCATATTGCGCACGCATGCATGTGACTATTACTTTATTACGCATGCATGTAATCATTATTTTATTATTTTCCATGTACATTATTTCTTGTAACTGTTGCACATTTTACGTAGATGGCTAGTATTATTATAGGAATAGAATCCTTATCTTTTATGGTAAGTATTTCCTTACCAGAGACGGTTGTACATGTATATATTTTCATATGTGCTTATCCGAATGGACATACGAAATCATTCCAAATATACTGCACTTTATTTTGGTATCAAAGCCAAATCGATCCATGATGTGGGCCCCCTTCTGAAAAATGATTGACACGATTATAAAAAAAATGACAATGACGAATTGACGAAAAAAATGAATGACGACACGATCCAGACGAAGAGTCTGGTCGTGAGGGGGGGTGTTAAATCCCACACCGGAAATGTTTGAGTCAACGAAGTGCTATATTAAGACATGGGCTACTCCTCTTATCAGGTTGACCTAAACTTAGGATGGAACCCCAGGTCTTAACACAATCACATTGCGTACAACATTAACTCAGTGATCGTTGGAGATAGCAATTACTCCGTATTAACTTTTGAAGTATATGGCGAGGGTTTGGGTAAAAATCCCATCCATACTCAAGCTATAGGGAGACCTTTCTATAAGTGGTATGGGAGAAGTATATACGGAGTACTTCTTATGATCTTAATAGCATTCCGATAGTATTATACTTTACACTATGAGTTTGAATTTCTTAAAAAAATGTAACTAACATATAATGGTATGATAGGAAAATGAATCCACAAAAAAGCATCATATTCGTGCACTAATATGTAAAGATTGTAGTACGTAATTCCTTAGAACTATATCTGTTTCAGAATGTAGAGATTGCAATCCCTCAGTCGAGGATACTCTTTGAATTTAACTAGCTCAATATTTTTTTGGGAGGAATGCTTTGCTCGTTCCTAAAGAAGTTGTGAGGATCAACCTTAGTCTTAACCCGAACTAACTTATCAAAATTCTTATTGAAATATTTGGTCCCCCAAAACTTAGCATCTTCGTAGCTTGATGAATCCAAACTGTTGTGTGGTCCAATGTCAAGATCCCTATAATTTAGGGATGCTTTTCTTGGAGACTTAGAAACAAAAGGAGTAAAATAACCATAAAGCCTTCTTATCCAACTCATCTGAATTTGAGAGGCATCATCACCTCCTTCACTCCAATTCGTCCAATATTGGATATTGTATAAATTCCCAGCTCTGTGAGGGAATGGAATCGACGATTCCGAGATCTCAGCCATTCTTCCACCATATGGACTCAACATGATAAACCCCGAGTTATTTTCATGGAGAAAGTTCCAAACACCTTCAAATGCATTGATAGGAATTGCATCCTTCACAAAATCGGATTTCGATTTAAAGTAAAACGGGTTCCCATTATTAGCAATGCGATTGAGCAATGCTTGAACGGGTGTACCTAAAGGGAATCCCTCGAGATATAAGACAGATTTGGCCCAACTTATCTCAGCGAGATCTTGTCTTGTCACCCCTAATTCGGGAAACATTTCATTCAAAATCAAGAGTACTTCATGGGTTGGTCCGAGGAACAAGGACTTAAACTCTGCTATTATAGTGTTTTGTTCTCCATAAGCCATCACTCTTATAAACAACTCTTTTGGTAACATAGGAGCCACTGTCTGCCACTTGTGCACGAGCTTTGTAGCTTTTTGCTTTAGAGATCTTCTAATGGTAAAAACTGTGACATTCTCAGGAATATCTACCAAACGTAGTTTCCATTCAAGAATCACACCAAAAGTGTTCCCTCCCCCACCTCTGATTGCCCAGAAGAGATCCTTCCCCATTGATTTCCTGTTAAGGATTCTCCCTTGCGCGTCAACCAGACGCGCATCGATCACGTTGTCCGCGGCAAGGCCGTATTTTCTTGACATCATTCCATGGCCTCCTCCGCTGATGTGTCCGCCGACACCAACGGAGGGACAGAGACCCGCCGGAAAACCAAGATTCCTGCTTTTCTCTGAAATCCTATAGTAGAGCTCACCAAGAGTCGATCCGCCGCCTACCCACGCCGTCTTTTTTGCAGGATCGACTGTAATGTTTTTGAAATTGACTAGATCAAGAATCAAGAACTGGTTCCCGAAGAAGCTGGTGTGAGAAAGGCCTTCGTGATCATGGCCCCCGCCCCGAACCCGAACCTGCAAATCTTGATCTTTGGCACAACGGATCACAGCTTGAACCTCAGACTCTGTTCGTGGAGTTACTATGATGAGAGGTTTTGGAGTGTCCGAGGTGTTGAATCTGGCGTTCTGAATATGTGACCGCAGGACTGGCAAGAACAGAGAGCTGCTTGAGGTGAAAATGTAGTCGGCAGTAACCTGGTTCCGCAATGTTCGGACCATGCATTCCTGGAAACCCGGGATATCTGCTAAAGCTGGACAGGAGATCAAGAACATGAAAGAAATAGAGACCCAAAATGCGTTTGGGTTCTTCATTTTGAAAAAGAAAAAAAGGGTTGTTTCGGCTGCATATAGTTCCATGTACCATCAGTAGGAATTTATGTCACCCTTTAATTTATTAGGCTGATTGTTCAGTTTCGTTTGAAAATCCACAGAATGAATACAATGAGAATATGAGATGAATGAAGGTTTTCTTTTTCTTGTTTTGGTAAATTGATAATAATGCAAGTAAATTGTAATTAGAATATTGAATCATGCATTGTATCCTGATGTTGGAAGATTTTGAGATTATGAAACGATTTGCCAATCCCTTTTTACTCTCCTGTTTTTCTCTCCCTCCAAAGTACTTCTACTTTTTATGTAAAATCATTCTTTTATTAATAACTATGTTGAAGGAAATTCTATGTTGTGTGCTATCGTTCAGATAGAATATGTATTAGGGTCTTTCTATGTAAATGATGTATTATGGGCCTATTGGCCCGTACTTGTAAACCCTACTCTATCCCTATTTATAGGGGCTCTCGGTAATGAAACTCTACGAATCATTCTCCCTACAACACGTTATCACCATAAATATCTTCTGCCTCCATTCACTTGGTTATCACCATCCTCCGCTGATCTTTCATAGACCCTCATCCGCATCGATTCATTCTTCATTCGCGAACTACTGATAGCTTTTCTACGAGTAGAGAAGATCGAACATCCTACTACGATTAAACATCACGATTAAAGGTATTTTGGATGTATGCCCTTGTTTGATAAAAACTTCTGACTTACCTACTACGATTAAACATCACTACTACTCCATAAAATTAGTATGTTGCACACTTAATAAAAGAGTATCACTACTACTCCATAAAATTAGTATGCCCTTCCTAGCCTGCGACTCACTAATTCCCACTACTAAAAAACTGGCTTACAGTGACACTTATTTAGTGACACTATAACATCACTCTGATATTTATGACATATATGTGTCATTGTTTTTGGTATATTATTATTATTATTATTATAGAATAGTGACACTTGCTCATACACAAGTACGAAAATTTGACGGAGGAGCGAGACGCTCTATCTTCTCTCTAGCCTTCTGCGATTTCCTCATTCAGACAGCCCGAAGCTAGTGCGGTAGTAATGCCGCCGGTGGAAGGACCAGTCCCGGTGACCTCGCAGGCGAAGACTTCCTATGCATCGGTGGTAAGGGATCCTATCCCAGGCCATCGATTCCATTCTTAGGGTTGCTCACTTTCCAACGCAGCTGAGTTGGGATCGTCTGGAACCGTCAAGGGCTTCCCGTCCATTTCCTTCTCTCAAAATGACTTTCAGATTATTTCCCTCCCATTCCTATACGCCATGGTCGGTACTTTTCCCTTCGGACGCCCCCTATCCCTGCGATTCGTAAGGCTTTTTAAATGTTAGGGTCTGCTCAATCTTATTCGGTTGGTTTGCTCCAATCGAACATTGTTCTAATCAATTTTAAGTCCGACCTTGATTTCCAAAAAATGGGACTCTCCCTAGCCCCCGTCTGGATTTCCCTTGAGGGACTCTCAATCCATTTACGTGATTTAAGGGCTCTAAATCCATTTGATGACCTGGCCGGGAAAGGAAGGGACGAGTCTGACGGTCTGGCTTTTCTTGGGTTGCGACGGCACCGGCACACTGCTTCCAAACTTGCAGCTTCATCTCGAAGACCGAGATATTTTATAGTTTTCAATTTGTAGCTCCACATCTCTTTCTATCTTATTACCTTCTTTAGTTTTAATTCTTTGTTTTTAACCTAAAAATTAGGATAACTTGAAAATCTAACCTGATTTGTTTACAAAATTTTTATACCGTATTCTTTAGCTTGTTGACAGAATGAGGGGCGGAAGATGTTTTAGTGTTTTTGCAGGTCTTGTAAGGCTCCTGAGAAAAAAGGTAAATCCATTAAATGAACGGGCTTGTTTGTTTATAATTAACATTAAAATAGTTATAGTTGTGCTTTTATTTATTTTTAATCTATACTGGAAGCATAGATATTTAATGGTTTATTTGATTTCTTTGATTTTCATTGATTAATAGCCATAAATCTGCTTCTTGATTCTATTGGGAACTTGAAGGTCTGTCAATTTGGATTGAGTGAACTTATTGCCTTCAGTGAAGAAATAGGAAAAAGTGATCAAGGAATTTTTACTATTCTTTACCAAATTCATTTCTTCTAAAATGCTACTTGTTCAATTCAGTTATTTATGGGGTCTGAAGTTGCTACAAGGCAATTGATTTAGTAATAAAAGTTCCTTAGCGTGTTGCATCAGTATGCCTCAGAGTCCTATGAATAATATGCCAAACTGTATAAGTTTGAGAGCGTAATGAACTAATGATATGCTGCACCAATGTCTACATTTTATAGGGAGACTCTTGTCAATTGTAAACAAATCCATCTGCATGATATTGCATGGATTTGGAGGATAGATGTCATCCCAAAGCTTAGATCATCCATTTTTTTGAAGTTCCATATATTTCTCTTGATGTGACCTGGGATCTGACGAGCTGCTCTTGCTTCTTCATTGAACTAAATAAATTGGAATAAAACTGTAGTAGTGACATTACTCCGTAATTAGGTTTGTTCAAGCAATATATATATGTCGAAATTTAAATCAATGTCTTAATGTTTTCAGAGTTTTCGGTCTTCCAGATTGCTCCTTCGGGTCCTTTGAGGAGCCATGTGACTAAGTAAGATCCCTAGCTGATTTTTGTTGTGTGTGTGAAGATGTGATGCTGGTTTGTGCCAGTTTCCTCCAACTTTACCCCTTTTTTGTTGTGCCAGGCAGGGTAGCCTTAACTGATCTTCGCCTTGCATATGCAATCTATGACCTAAAACGGTGAGAACCAAGTTTCGTGCTCGTATTGTTTTACCATCTCTTAAGACTTCTTATGATGGAAGCGAAGTTGCTTGGTTTTATTTTCTTAAATTGTTACTGTTAGATTTGATTTTTGTGTTTGATGATCTAAACCAAGATAATTGTTGTGTATTCTTTCCTAACACTACTTTTCTAATGCTGCTTATTGACTTTCTGTTTTTATAAGTTGTGCTTATACTTGCATCTTGAGAGATTAGAAATTAGATTATGAAAATTAACATTTGTTTTCCTATTTCTCTGTGCAGGAAAGACGCTTAAGATTATGTATCTATCTACAGAGTACAAAGCCATGATAAAAGTCATGCACACTTTTCATAGTGTCCACTCACCAGTCTTTGCACAAGGTATCATAATAAATTTGGAGTTTTATCGATTGTTGATAAAGAAGGTTTAAATGTTAGTTTAGGGAATTTCTATTTTGACTGCACACCTCTGACCAGTTTCTTACATCCCCTTATTGGAATATCTCATTTCTTATTTTATCTCTCATTGGGTTTTGTCCTCAATTTTTTTTCATGGGGAAATGTTTTACATTTTCCATGCCTTTCCCCAGCAAAACTAAAACATGTCTGGGGTTGAGCATTACCTAAGATGTAGGATAAAGAGTTCCTAAGCAGAGAGCAAGATGGTGAGGTGTTAACATAATGCAGCTTTAACAATGTCTTGTTGTTTTTACATCCAAGATTTAAATCCACAACCCAATGGTAAACGATCGAACACTTTTCTAGCGCAACAAATCCAACCTTTAGAAAGTAAATATGGGATCACATTCTCAATGAATATCCTCTTCCCATTGGGAAACTGTAGATCTTTCAAAATATAAAAATTAAGGCACTCTATAACCTATTACATACACTGGGAGACCACATTGTGTGTTTATTTTAATAAACACTTATTATCATTTATTCTTGATTAATCTTCATTTAGACTAATTTTTATGCTACATAATTTTATGCTTGAAAAGTACTTTGCCTTGACAGGAAAGGCCTATTACAAGGAATGTGCAAATCTAAGGCCTTGTTTGGTAGCCATTACTAGCTTATTCTATAATTCACTTGGCTGCAGGTTTACTTGACTAATATATCGCATATCCAGCCTTATATTTTCAAAATTCCCAATTTTCTTATTTCTGTTTTCAGAAAATGAATTGCTATTCCATGTTTATATGATAACTTTTTTATCTACTTTCGTTTCTTCTGAATGGATAACTAATTTCAACTAATTTCCACTGTCACAGGAAGCTCTATTTTTACTTTCATCACACTATTTTCTACTTTCATCACACTATTTTTATAATAATCATTATAAGCTCTAGCACGGAAAATATTGACTTGTGTTAATTTTATCCTTAGATGTTGATGTACTCGTTGAACTTATTGATTATTAATATTGCAAAGTTAAACAATTATGCAGGCTATGTTCAACCAGATATTGAGTAGTACTCTAAAGACTTGTTTTATTGGATTTTTTGGTGATGCTAAGGCTATGTTCAACCAGATATTGAGAAGTACTCTAAAGACTTGCTTCATTGGACTTTTATGGTGATACCAGGAACTATGATGTCTAGCGTGTAGCATATAAAAATTTTGTATGATTAAATTGTAGATTTATAGCATCTTGTAATATATGTAATACTTTATTGATATTGACACTGTAAAATTATTTGAGTAATAAATATAGATATTGTTGTTTTGTTTTGGCTATTTATTAATATTTCTATAGTTTATATAATTTGTAATAGAACTAGAAAGAAGCAATAGAATGATTATAATAATAATGTGATTGTAATTATGACACCAATGTGTCGTAATTTTTATGATACCAACGTGTCACAAAGTCTTATGATACCAATGTGTCATAATTTTGCATCACATTAATGTGTCATAATTTACTGACACTATTTTGTTTTGCAATCAGTGACACTATATTTAGTGTCGCTAGCCGCCACTTTCCCCGACGCTTTTTAAGTGTCGCAGAAAGTTTCAGCGACACTAAATTAGTGTCACTACAGGCCCTTTTTTTACTAGTGTCCCGGATCTCTGTTGAGGTATTTTTTTACTCAAAAATCATTGCAGGATCTTATGTATATGATTTATTGCATCTGTTTACCATTGTGATGAACATCATTGATTTTTTTTAGAGATTAAGTTATCGATTTTTTTAGATCCATTTCTTGCACCCCAAGTGTTTGATGATATGCCTCATCCATTTTTTTTGAGAGATAGGTGCAATTTTTTATTATAATTCCGTAATGCTATATGTTATAA